CTCTTCCGATCTCCCCAAAACCCCAAAACCCCAAAACCCCTTGCTACAATATTTAAAGTATATCAGTTAAGAGAAATGTAAATTAAATAATGAATTAGGGAAATTTATGGTCTAGATTATTTTGGAGTTTCCGCCAAAGAAAGATCATATAGCAGCAGATATTTATGTAAACTAATAAAAAAGAGGTCTTAGCCATTTACAGAGAACTACTCAAGCAATTCCATAAAAACATCCCTAGGAAATTAGAAAGAGAAGCTAAAATTGCTGTAATTTAAAAGCATGCATTTAAAACTTCTATAGGAATTTAGGTATATATTTAGGAAAACCTAAGATGAGACAGATTTGGATTAAATTAATGAGATAAAAATGGTCATGTACACAGTGTTAGAAAGAATTGAAGCAGGGGTATACCCTCCATTCCCTAAGGACTTGAGAATCTGAACATTTACTAATTTGTGTCATTAATTTAATAATTATATAATTAATATAAACAAATAAATTGAAAATGGGAAGAGAGATGCGTGATCTCATCAGAGGAGTAGTAAAGGACCACAGATTGGTAAATATATTATTCTCTTACTCACATAATTATTCAGCCAAATGATTACAAATTCGCTTACAATCAACCAGTCTTGAGCTCTGCCTTCTTAAAGCAGGTCAAGAGATTTATCGCCACTAGACAAATGACTAAGACTCATGCCACCACTCCAATGGTTGTCATTTTTGTAAGTAAAATAATTGATTCTTCACTTTCTAAAAATAAATTTAATTAGGGCTTCGCATTGCCATTCTCTATCTTAGCTACAATCTATCACTACATGTATAACGGATACTGGCCACATGCTCTCCAACCACAAAACTAACTCTATAGAAAAGGAAACTACGCTCAGCAACATGCCTACAACATGAACCCTGATAATCACTACAACAGCAATCAAGCTTGCTGGACCACTGATCCAATGTGCGGACTCGATATTGCACCAAAGAGACCTTGGGAGTTGTTAAAGAATCCAGAGTAGAACCTCTTTAAATTCGAGAGAGAGTCAACTCAAGATAAGAGAAGAGAGATTAATGGCTATAGACTTGTTGCTGGCTGAGCATCATCTTTTAAGATTATTCAATTCATTTTCAAGAGAAATTAGGTTAACTTTTACCTCTTTGCAAATGAATGCGATGAAACTATTTAAAATAAGACATTTAAACATATTTCGATTTTCCTCTCATTAATTTTTAATTTATAAATGTAATTAATATCAAACATTAAAGTAAGGGATACCCATAATTCACATAAATTATTTTCAAGATTACTATCACAAAGTATATGTGGCATTTGAATATTTTGCATAAGGCGATTCCATATAGTTAAATAAAGAATCATAGGAGAAATCAATTTGTGCTCTATAGTTTAAAAATCTTGATTAAAAGTAGCCCAAGTTATATCCCAAATTTATACAATTAGGTGCAGTGAATATTCCCAAGAAAGCATTTTTGATGTCTTCGTTAAGGACTAGCATTAGGATGATGTCAGCTAGCAAATTAAAGGCTCCTGGGATTGTAGTAAATCTGATTTAAAGCTGCAATGTAAATCTCTTATACTCACATGCAAAGAGTTAATCAGAGGTTTAAACAATGATATCATTCATTAGCACGAATGGTCTTGCGAAGTCAACTATTGAGGGATTGTCCAGAGCTTCTTAAAGCTATAAAATCGATTAGGCGACCTCATTTGATCTAATGTAGCATGCAGCTTTTAATGCAGTACTATCTTGAAGTAGACCCAGGGCATTTCCTCTGATTAAGTCACTGAGTCCATAATAAACATTGCAATTTGAACTCTATATCATAATATAATATAGTATTGACTTACATGGATGTAATTAAATTAGATTGATAGCAAAATAAATGATATAGTGAGATATTTCGGATTCTAGGACAAAGCCATTCTATGATTTGTATTTAAATTTTAAAATTATAAAATTAATAAAATATGAGTAATCTATAAGATTTTTTTTAACACATTTTAATTTAATATATAATCTCCGAATAATTATAGATATTATCTCAACACTTAAATATTATCAATAATACTTTGTCTTTGGTATATTAATCGAAAAGTTCACAATCTCATCAACATTTTTCTATATTTTTTAATGATCTTCTGGCTTCAACTTGTAGTCCTAGGTCCTACTTTTCACTTATTACTGAGCGTTTCTGGTGTAAATACCATACTATGCTGTAGTATTTTTGGAAATTTATTGAGGATTATTTTTATGAATTAAGTCTTAATTCAACTTCAGTGTTTGACCTTGTTTTTAATGTGTAAGATTAACTGATGGCTAAGCATCTTAAAAACTAGTAATAATTGAAGAATTTTATTAAGGATTGTACCTCAATGTATTTAAGCCTGATTGCTAAAGAATTTAAGGTGTTTCTGTTTTCAAAAGCTGAGGTAGTTCAGATTATGGCATAAAGAATGACTAATTGTCCGATGCTTTATAAGAAATTTACTAATTATACACTGCCTCTGGTTTATGTTTTAGATCTATCAAAGGTGTTTTTTGTTTTTCCTCAGCAATCTTAACAACCTAAGGTATTATGGATCTTTGTTTATCCAAAAAATTGACATCATTGATTAATATTGATTCATCTTTCAAATTTATCAAGTCTGCCTGCTTAAGCTTGGGAGGTGTTCCTTATCTTTCATAAACAGATTCTGGATAGCTTGTGAAATTGCCGACTCTGTTTATTCTTTCAGTTAAATTTTCACTTATCATACTCTTGGTAACACTCTTTCGCATATTATATCTTTGCGATACTTTTTTATCCAATTCATTAACTAACTCATCCTAAGACTATTATATTCTATTCAGACTTTCAATAATTTGAGAAGCATCCAAAGTCAAATCGGGATTATCAAAATCTCCATCTTCAATTTTATTTCTGGGATTAATCAGCTTGTAATAATCTTCTTTTGATATTTCTTTTGTGGCTAGAACTAGATAAGTTATCGGCTAGCCTGTAGAATGAATTTCATGAAAAGCTACCATGTATTCTATCTTAGAAGACATTAATATTTATCTGGTATATCGCTGAGGATTGCCATCATCTCTGAGGAGGTTACAAACTACCTCAAAGCCAAAACTTGTCATGAAATCGAAGAACACATATATATGTTCATACATAAAATCGCATTCAGCAAGCAATCGATGTTTTAAACTATTTTACTCATTCTCTGAAATTTCATTTTCACTCCTACTTATGATATCTATGTTCTTGATCTTCTCAACATTAATCATTTTTTCTAATTTAGGATTCCACTAAAGACCTTTAGCTTTGGGCTGCTTAGTTATCCAATTGATCAATGAATCTACTGCTTCTTATCCCTCCTCAGTTTTTACCATCCCAAGTGAGAAGGAGTTATAGAATTTGTCTTTATGCATTTGTGACCTAATGGTTTCAAGAGCATTATTAGAAAAGTACACTGCACCTGCTCTGGCAATATTAAGAGTAATCATAATTTCCTTGACCTAGTCTTTTAAATGCTCTGGTGGTGATGGCAAATCCTTAAATTTAGTTATATATTCTGTCCTTAAATTCTTTGGAAGATATTTATGAGAATAGAAATGACTCTGTTTTGTTTCAATTAGTATCGGTCTTATTTTTTGCATTTCTTTGATCGGACTTTGATAAGGCATCACTTCTTAAATATAGGTAGTTTAGTTATTTTCAATTGTTTCAGGACCACCAGCTTCTTCTTAAACTTCAACTTCAACTTCACCAAAGGTTGGATAAATAATCTCTTATTAAGTCTCTGGTAACGTGGCCCTCGACTATTTTTTCTTGGCACAACAACAACCCATTTATTAGTAAAAAAGACTTAATGTCTCAGAATTTTTAACTTAATTTTAATTGCATTTATTTAATTTTGTTTCATCTTCAATTATTATATAAACTTATGCATATGGGGTTTTGGGGTTTTGGGGTTTTGGGGTTTTGGGG